ATGGATACTTTCTGCTAATAGAACACAAATCGCAACTAATAATACTGAGTAAGAAGAACCAGCCATTCATCTGTTGTGTCATCCTGTAATGCTTTTATTGCTACATATGAAGGGTTCCATCCTGCCTATGGAGTGCAGTTACACACGCCAAGTTGAATAAAAGCACTGCATTCATTAGTACCAACCAGTCCTTAGTCTCTTTGTGGCAGTTCATTACTTGGAGGGTCATTAACGAATTTAGATTAACAACATGCTGTTTTCTTTCAAAATAGCATATGCTTAGTCTAAGTTAATGTGTTCATGGACAATAGTTGTGATGCAGAAGCCGGTGGGTGTGGTGGGGGTTATGGGGGTCCGATGTTTGCTTCATCACTGCTTTGGCAGCCAATCTTCCAGCACTAGCCAAGAGCTGTGTTTTATTATGAATGAGTGGCGGGTGTCTTTTTGCATAGCTCTTTTAATTGACACAGGAGCAAGGAGCTTTGATGTATGAGACGTGGTGGTGGAGAGACTGAATCCTCATTACTGCTCTCTTTTAAACTCTGCCACCGTCTCCATGCCTCCCTCGCTTGGAGCAATGCAGACTGCAGGGAGAGCTCATCAGGCAAGTGAGGGGAACAGCAGAGACAGAGTGTGGGTAGAGAAGAGGGCTGAGGACGACACCAAATGAAATGCCTTTTCACTTTCCCATAGTGGGGAAATCCTGAATCCTGTAGTACCTGCAGAATCTCAATGTTCTAATGAAGGAACTTCTAAAACAAAGCTACAGGAGTAACAACAGGACATACAATATTTTACTGTATGGAATGGCACAAACGTGACACATAGGAACATTCATGTTACATACATTTTTTTTGTATGAGTATGCCTCATGATTCAATAGCTTACAGAGCCAACTTTAGCAGCAGTAACTTGAAGTCAAAGGAGTTTGCAAAGAAAAGCGTCTGGACTTCTTTAAGTTGCTTGAAGACGTTTCACCTCTTATCCGAGAAGTAACCTAGTTACTCCCACTAGATTCTCATCCGAGAACCTAGTGGGAGTAACCCCCCACAGAGGGACAAAAGGACCCCCTGATGATCCTCTAATCGCCTGAGCCAAGGTGTGAAACTGGGTGTGGGTCCCAATCAGCCAGAGTTTCGGGTGTGTTCATTGTGAAACCTGGCCCCACCTTATCATGCGAATTCCTGAGGTCAGATGGCCAGGATGTGAGTGGGCGTTAAGGCGTCTGGGAAGGGATCTCAAACTGGATTATAGATGGCAGAGAGTTGGTGTCGTAAACCCCCGCCTCTGTTTCAAAGATGGTCGCTCACAGTGGACATAGATGGCTTCTTTCACTCCTCTTTCAAACCATCTGTCCTCTCTGTCCAAAATGTGAACATTGGCATCCTCGAAAGAGTGCCTTTATCCTTAAGATGCAGATGGACTGCTGAGTCTTGTCCTGTGGAGGTGGCTCTTCTGTGTTGTGCCATGCGCTGTGAAGTGGCTGTTTGGTCTCTCCAATGTAGAGATCTGGCATTCCTCGCTGCACTGTTAAGTCTGTGTTTTTGGGCGTTTTGTCTTTCGGTGAACCAGTTTTTGTCTGAGCGTGTTGCTGGGTCTGAAATACACTGGGATGTCGTGCTTGGAGAAAACTCCTGAGTTTTTCTGATACACCGGCTACATAGGGGATGACAATGTTGTTGCGTCTGTCCTTCTTATCCCCCCTCGCTGGGTGCTGGTCTTCTTTTCTGTGCCTCTTGCTGACTTTAAGAACGCCCATTTTAGGATAGCCGCACGTTTTGAGTGCTTCCTTTACATGTGTGTGTTCCTTCTTTTTCCCTTCAGGCTTAGAGGAACATGTGTAAAAGCCTTCGTTGTATTTGAAATATGTAGTGGTGAGGCAGAGGTCTAACAGTGTGCAAATCTGATCGGGTGTGAAGTTGGTCCTGTCCTCCAAGGAGCTGTCTTCTTGTAGTCGTTTTCTGACAGTCTCCAGAAAACGAGGCCGTGGAGACTGTCAGAAAACGACTACAAGAAGACAGCTCCTTGGAGGATCGGGTGTGACCAACTTCACACCTTGAAATGCACCGTGTAGAACGAAAGACCATCGTACCTATCATAAGTTTACCAGTCTCACAATCGTCTTCATAATACACATTAGTTAACCGTTATTAATAGGACCTTTGAGCTCAACGGTAATTAATTAGCAGTGGAAATAATTTCTGGTACGCGTTACAGAATGTAGCAGTGACAATAATACTGTATGCTGTAATCGTACTGGGCAATTAGTGATACAAAAAAACTGTTTTATCCTGTGAATAAAAGTATATTTTTGTCAATGTACCATAATACAGAAGCGAAACGCAATATTGTGTCAGACAATTCACTATTATGCACAATAAACAAAGGAGCGACAATTTCTGTTCAGCGCCAGACTTGCTTGTAACCTATATCACCAATTATGTTATGAAAATGACGCATTAACTACAACAGCAGACTGACCTTTGTGTAAATGCTTGGAGCAGACTAACCTTTGAGCTGGAGTGTTCTGGGACGTTATATTTGGTCTTGAATGGCTGCAATCCAGGCCATCCGTCGCCTCTTTGTTACTTCGGAAACATGGCTCGAACAATTCTCTTCAACGACGTAATCCGATAACAACCGATCTCTTTACCCGTCGGCTTCCCGTGGCTGTATGTGCCCGGCTATGCAGTTAATAATACAACGGCTTCTTGACATTTTTGTGTTTCTTTTATCGCTGTGTGACTGATTTCAATTAAAAGCCTAGTACCTCTTGCACGAGTTCCCAGAATCCTTTGTGGTTCTACCCCTGAATGACATTTCAATCTCTATATAATATGCATGTTACATTTTATATTTGGGTGAAATATCAAGTCTTTTCAAGTAAACCGGTTCAAGTCCAATTCAAGTCCCAGGTCATTGGTGTAAAAGTCTAAGTCAAGTCACAAGTCTTACAACATTTTTTCAAGTCAAGTCTAAAGTCATAAAATTAATGACTCGAGTCTGACTCGAGTCCAAGTCATGTGACTCGAGTCCACACCTCTGCGGACCAGTACCTCCTCTTTGACTCC